ATAACAATACTTCTAGAGTGTGTGTGTGTGTGTGTGTGTGTGTGTGTGTGTGTATTTGTATGCGTTGCCTCAAATCTATATATATATAAGTGAAATACCACTCATGCATCATCACGAAATCTCCAGAACTGTAAAACCTACAAACTTGAAATCTGGCACGTATGTTCCTCTTGGCTTCTAGGTGTTTGCTAAGAAAGGATTTTTCGAAATGACCATCAGATCATTAGCATTTCTTATACAGTATTATATTAACACGCTCTGATGCTAAGGAGTTAGACATTCTACTCCCCCTTCCCACCTGAAAGGAACTCTGTTCCAACTGCTAATTGCCTTATATTAATATGCTCTTTGCTAGACCAGGCGTGGGCATGGCCAGTGTGTGACTCATTGCAGGCTGAAGGTTTAGACCAGTGGGTCTCAACCTTCCTAATGCCACGACCCTTTAATACAGTTCCTCATGTTGGGGTGACTCCCCCCCCCCAACCATAAAATTATTTTATGTTTTTTTGTATTTTTTCAAAAATATGTGTTTCCCAATGGTCTTAGGCGACCCCTGTGAAAAGGTCGTTTGACCCCCAAAGAGTCCCGACCCACAGATTGAGAACCACTGGTTTAGACATTCTACTTCTCCTCCCCATTGAAAAGAAGTCTGTTCCAACTCCCAGTTGCCTTATATTAACATGCTCTGATGCTAAGGAGTTACACATTCTATATTCATTTTCAAGCTTTAAGTATCAAACCCGATTACAGGTTCATAGCGAAGCACGGGTATCCAGCTAGTGATTCATATTTGAATGTGACATAAATTCAGACCCCAAAAGTTGTGCCAGAGCGAGTTCTGAGTAATATATGCTTTCATTCTGCATGTGTTTTTCTTACCGTATCTGTAGAAAAACAAATGCTGCATGGGTTTTACCGGTGACTTCTTCATCACTTCCACTCGCTCAGTCAATTTTCCCATTCTGTTTCCCCCACAGTGTGGCAATTCCAAGAGAGGCCGGCATCTGGAAGAAAGGGGTAGGTTTTTATGCAGTCCATCTTGGGATGGGAATATGTAGCTGGAGTCGTTGATATTATTAACCTGTAACATGCCATTTTATTTGGGCAAACTCCGGGAGACCATGGAAGAATGGGAGGGGTGTGTGCTATGGGGTTGCAAAGAGTCGGACATGACTTAGTGACTGAACAACAAATATGCCATATGTTTAAAGGGCTAGTATGTTGTGTCAAGTCATCTGCTGAGGTTCATTAACCAGATTTAAGTTTGTGAATCAGTTAACTGGCTAGAATGTAGAACATAGAACCATAGGCCTGGAAGGGACTTTGGAGATCTTCCAGTCCAATCCCCTGCTCAAGACAGGAGATCTTATGCCATCCCAGTCAAACCGTTGTCCAGTCTATTTTTTTGAAAACCTCCAATGAGGGAGCAGCTACAACTACAGGAGACAACCTATTCCACTGATTATTTGCTTACGCTGTCAGAAATGTTTTCCTTATTTCTAGAAGCTGCATCTCTTTCACCCATTACTTCTTGTCCTGCCCTCTGTGTTCTGACTAGGCTTCCCAAGAGCATGAAGCAAACTGCTTGTCCCGACAAAAACCCTTTTTATTAAATTACTGTGAATTCTGCTCATTCACATCCAGCAAAGTCTTTCAAGGGAGGATTTACAGTCACAGACCTTATCTGGCTTGGAGACCTGCCAGGCCAATATCTGCAAAACTTGGCAAGGAGTCTTTGCCAATTAAGCAAACTAATTGTCTCCTGCAAACTCCACTCCCCTTTTGCTCTCTCTTTTATTTCCTCTGGGGGGGGCATTCATCATCCACCTGTGGCTTTACTCCCAAGTCGACCCCTGTTCTTTAGCTCTTCCCTTCNCCTCCTCCTTCTTCTACCATAAGTAGATGCAATCTACCTAAGTAGATACAATCTTCAACCAACTTCTCTTTTGAAGCCTCAAGTGTGAAGGCTTCCCTCCGTTGGCTGCTACATCCAAGGGATGCAATAATTTGCTTGGCAAATGAAGGAACAAATGAGTCAGAGAGTAAGACAGGCTGACATCGGAGAAAACCAAGATTCCCTTTCTAACGCTTCTAATACATTCTTCTCTAACATGTGCCTGGGAAGCCCGCAACCGTATCTCGCTTGAGATAGGTACCAGCATGTCATGATTCCCCGTGGAACATTTCTTGTCAACAGTGAAACTTTAGTCAGAATTCGGTGTAGGAGGGTAGGGTGACTGAGCTGTGTTTGTGGAAATTCTCAAGGAGACAATAAAGCTTTGAGGTGTTTTTTTTTTAAATGTTTGTGATTAATACGAACTTACTGATTAGAGGTCACACAATATAAGCAGCGCCTTGCCAAATATGGCATTCTGTTCATCTGTCGATGGGGTTAAAAAGTGGGAGAGATTATGCAAAACAGGACAAAGAAAATTGTCGAAACATTACAGCATCTCTCTTCAAATGAAAAGGCTGAATATGGATTTAGGAAGTAGATTAACTTCTCTGTCAGCCTGGGGTCATAACCTTTGACTGCAAGTAGTCCTCAACTTACAACCATTTGTTTTGTGATAGTTCAGTTGAAAATAAAAAGCATCTTAGGACTGATTTTTTCACACTTACGACCACTGAAACATCCCCATAATCACGTGATCGAAATTCAGCTGGCTCATGTTTATGAGAGTTGCGGTGTCCCAGGGATACGGCATCACCTTTTGTAACCTTCTGGCAAGCAAATTCAATAGGGAAGGAAGATTCACTTAAAAACCGTGTTACTAACTTAACGACCACAGTGATTTCCTTAAGAACTCTGGCAAGAAAGGCCGTCAAATGGAGTAAAACTCACTTAACAAACTGTCTCACTTAGCAACAGAAATGTTGGGCTCCATTGCAAGTGGAGGCCTACCTGTACTTTATCTGTAACCCAAAGAACAAAAGCAGCTGGACTTTTTAGTATATATTGCAACAATTATCCATAACAATACTTCTAGAGTGTGTGTGTGTGTGTGTGTGTGTGTGTGTGTGTGTATTTGTATGCGTTGCCTCAAATCT